CCTGGTGATGGGTATTAAAGAGGGCACATTCTGCGTGGAGCACTGGGTGTTATGCACAAACAATGAATCATGGAACACTCCATCAAAAACTAATGATGTAATATATGGTGATTAACATAACAATAAAAAAGAAAAAAAAGAAGATGTGATATATATTAGTTAGCCATAAAAAGAATGAAATCTTGCCGTTCGTAATGACATGGATGGAGTTTGGGAGTATCATGCTAAGTGAAATAAGTCAGTCAGACATAGACAAATACCATATGATTTCACTCATATGTGGAATTTAAGAAAACTAATGGGCAAAGGGAAAAAAAGAGACTGAGAGAGACAAATGAAGAAATATACTGTTAGCTATAGAGAACAAACTGATGGTTACAAGAGGGGAGGTGAGTGAGGATGGATGAAACAGGTGATGGGGATTAAAGAGTACACTTAACTATTATGAGCACTGAGAAATATATATAACTGTTGAATCACTACATTGTACACTTGAACCTAATATAACACTGTATGTTAACTATACTAGCATTAAATTAAAAACTTAATAAAAATATCTTGGGAGAATAATTGACTTTGATGTCTCATGATGTGTGATTACTACTTTTATGGGTAATCTAAGCATAATTGTTAAGAACAGGAATATTGAATAAACGTATAAATAAAATTTTCAAAAATTTTAGGTGAACTTGTAGGGGCCTCTCTATGGTTCACTTCTTATGCCATGTAACTCTTGATCTTGGGGTTGTAAGTTCAAGCTCCATGTTAGGTGTAGAGCTTACTTAAGAAAAATAAATTATTAGGTAAACTTTTAAGTAGTTTCCAAAATCTTTCCACTAAACTGAAAACTTAAAGTTTTGCTGAGCCAGATTAAGTAATGATATAAGGTAAATTCATTAAATATTTAGATCATTTCCAAATAACATAAAATAATGAAACATTATTAAAATTAGGTTTCTCTAATTTTGGCTTTTTTGTTAAACATAAATACAGGTCTGTTGGTAAACTTTTTTGGAGTCCTTTATTGAAAGGTGTACTATAGAAAAAGCACATTTGTAGAAATTATAAATTGTATTCTAAATTTGCCAATCTAAAGAATGCTGGTATGACACACAGTTAACTTATGCTTACTAGTTTTCACTAGAAATTGAAGTTTCTAAGGGTTAAGAACTCTAATTAATGTGTGTGGTTAGAGCTGTTAAAAATAAAAAAAGAAATATCTCTGAATGAAAGAAAAGTAAAAAAAAAAAATGTATGTGGATTGGAGATGCACTGGTTTTGAGGCAAAAGAAAGTTGTAAAAAGATTGTGAAAAAGGAATCTTTGGAAAGGAATTTTATGCATGTCAGGACTGACTCACATTGGAATGAATAAATTTTAATACAAAAATAAGCTGGTGCAAAATTAGAATTTGGTTTCTTGCCTGTCAAAAGGACAAAGTTTTCTTTGTTTTTCCAGGATTTGTTCTACTTTTGGTAGTAGGTTGCGAATGTTCCCTTACCATTTAAGTGATCTTCCTAGAAAACAAAGATTCTGTGTTTTATGTTCTATTTGCATAGGTATATAAATGTTCTAGAAATTATGTGAAATTCCTGGAAATTTCATACATCTTAGTATAATGTTATCACTTGTAATCACTCTCTTACCTTCTGAAATTGCTGTCATCAAAACTGAGGCTCACGCTAAAAGTCCTGAACCAAAGTAAAATGACCCAGCTGACTCACATAAAAAGACAGCCAGCAAAAGAATCTATAAAGATTGTGGCACATGTGGATAATATCCATTCTGCTGCTGCAAAAATGTCCCCTCATTTTGAGATTTCTGCCATTCTGTTGTCAGGGTAAAATGACAACACTCTGCTTCTGAATCAGAGAAAATAAAATAGATAAACAATGGCTGTAAGTTGAACAAACAGTTAAGGCTTTGGGAAACCCAAGACAGCCGCTTGGTTTTTCTTGTCTCACTGGCAAACTCCATTGTGTTTTTTTGTTTGTTTGTTTGCTTTTTTCATTCCTTCACCCATCATAGTGCATTTAAGATAACTCAAACTATGGCTACATATTGGAGGGGAGACATCTATAAAATTGTGGGAACAGTCTACCAGCAATGTCTGACTTGTCCGGCCCATTATCCTGGAAAAATTATTTTTGCCCCCAGAGGCCTCCTCCTTTGAGAGACATTTGAACACCCACAGCTGGTCTTTATTCAGTAGTCACCTAGCCTGGGTTATCAATAAGTTCTTACTGTGTGTTTTCCAGTTAGGATGAAGATTTGTCCTGCAGCAAAGCTGATGTCCTCACAGTGGTAAAGGAACTGTTAATGACTTCTTTCTTGTACTCTTCCTCTCTTCCTTTAAAAACATTTCCTTTCCTACAGCTCAATGGAGCTCTTTCCTATTTGCTAGATAAGATGCTGCCTAACTCATGAATCATTTAATAAAGCTAATCACTCTTTAAAATTTATTTATTTGAATTTTGTCATTAGTAGATAATACATGCATTGTCTTTCCACAGAAAGGTAGTTAGGCATGAGATGGGGGGTGAATGTCTGATCAGGAAGCTCTTGGGGAAAAGCCCCTATCCACTGACACCCCTGATATTCACATGATCCTTCTGCAGTTCACAGGAATAAAGTTTATTCTCCAACAGCCCTCTGAAAATGTCCCAAATAGTTAAATGCTCTAACTGGCTTACAGCCATCTAGCACACATCCTGCCCCTCAGACTTCCACACCCACAGCACCCAAAATCAAGCATGCAGACTCTCCCAACACAAAAATAGAACCTGTAATTCTATTTTTAGACCCATGCTCAATCCAAAGTGATTCCTTGCTTACCAACTCCTGAAGGAAAAGAGACTTCTGGTGTCAGAGCTGAGCTCTGAACATGTCCCCAGGGCAGCACAGGAAATGCTGAGCCTGGATGAAGTGCTCCCTGCAGCCCACAGCAGGAGCACTCCTCTGCACAGACTGGCCTTGCACTGGAACACGTCCTGTGTGCTGGTGTGCTCACTGCAGAGATAAAGAGCTGACTGTCACCCCAAATATCTACACTGCCTGTGAGGAACGGGCAGGACTTAAATCATCTCTGGCCTCTGTTCCACCCTCACAGGACCTGGCCAATAGTAAAGCAGCCATCACGTTGCAGAGCCCTGCATTTGCAAGAACAGAAAGTGAAAACAAAGTTCTGAGGGCTCCTTTTCCAAGAAACACAGCCATTGCCAGGAAGTCAAACTGAAAGGCACCACAGCCATTGATTTTGTGTGTTTTTGGCATCATGAGTGAGAGCAGGGCACAGGATCCCAGGCAGCAGGCTTCTCAGGGACCCCCAAAGGACACCCTAATCAGGCCCCAGCCTCCAGGCCAGGCAGAATCAGAATCCAGAATCACAGAACACAGGCCTGAGTCCTGGGAAAATGACACTCATGGCCCCCCCACCCCATTAGGCATGGACAGCCCAAATGCCATGGGGAGTGAAGTCTAATAAAGAGGGTATCTAGTCCTTGTCCCTGGTTCCTGGCACAGAGTCAAAAAGTCTGGAAATTTCCTGACTTGTGGGAGCTGACTTTGTTATGCTTATGAAGTGATTCCAGGCAGGATCCTAGATAGCTTCAGGTCAGTGGCTGGTCACCGGGAAGACCAACCATGTGACTAGAGGGTGGAGACTTTGGGCCAGCTGGACCTCTGGGGAGGAGAAGAGAGGTGAAGATTGAGCTCAGTCTCTTGGCCAATGATTTGATAAATCGTCTCTGTAATGAGACACCTATCAAAACCCTAGACACCAAGGCTCAGTGGGTTTCTTGGTTGATGTTTGCATTGATGCTCTGGGAGGCTGCATACTCTGACTTCATGGGGAGAGGCAGGGAAGCTGTGTACTCCCTCCCAGACCTCACCCTATGTGAATCCTTTTAAATAACACTGTACTTTTAAGTATAACACTTTCCTGACTCATGTGAGTCATTCCAATCAATTAACAAGCCTGAGGGGGTTATAAGACACTTCTAATTTGCAGACAGTTGGAGGTTCAGGTGACCTAGGGAATCCCCCAAGTGCAGCTGGTGTCTTCTCAAGGACTGAGTTCTGAAACCTGGGGGTGTCTCTGCTAACTCTGCATGGTTAGTGCAGGAACTAAAAGGCAGTATATCCAGTTGGGGTGGAAGCTGAGTAGAGAGTAACCCTGTGTCGTTGACAGCCATATTCTGGCTTTAATTTTTTTTCATATTTTTGAATATAAATCATCTAAATAGTTTACAGTACAAGAGGTATAAAATGTATACAATAATATGTCCCTCCATACACAATGGGCCTTCATCAAGTGTCTGTGCAAGAGGGACCGTGTCATCCTTATAAGTCCATTTTATGAATGTAAGAGCAAATATGCACAATCCATTTTCTCCTGTTTATAGAAATAGCAGCATTCCTTACACAATGTCCTGCACCTCGAATTTTTCATTTGATATTTGGTAATATTTGTAGATATGCACACTCAACCCTCCTCCTGTTAAAATAGTGTACACCTGAAATTAATATAACAGTGTGTGTTAACTAAATGGAATTAAAATAAAAACTGAAAGTAAAAAAATAAAGTAAAATAAAATAACAAAATAATAAATATATTTTTATTAATGTGTTTTCAAAAAAACATCTGTTTTACTGACAAGTAGGTCATGAAATAAGACCTAGGTGAACTATAGCTCAATAAAGCTGTAATTTTAAAAAAGAAGAAAAAGAAATGGGACCTGCCATCAACCCAGTAAAGTCTGGTGATGCCCGGCAAATAGCAACTCCCTCCTCGAATGTGGAGTTTCTTCCCCTCTTTTTTTTTTTTGATTGAATAACAATTAACATAAAATGTTATATTAGCTTTATGTGCACATAATATTGATACAACAGCTCTATACATTACTCAAAGTTCTCCATAGTGTGTCACCATCTGTCACCATACACCATTGTTACAATATAATTGACTATATTCCCTCTGTTGTTCATCTCTGTGATTTATTTACTTTATACCTGGAAGTTTGTATCTTAATCTCCTTTATTTATTTTACCTTTCCCCTTCCCCTTACTTTACCTCCCCTGTGGCAACTACTAGTTTGTTCTCTGTATTTCATAGTGTTTTGTTGTTGTTTGTTTGTTTGTTCAGATTCCACATATAAGTAAAACTATATGGTATTTTTCTTTTTCTGACTTACTTCACTTAGTATAATACCTTCTAAGTCCATCTGTGTTGTTGCAAATGGCTTTCATTTTTTATGACTGAGTAATATTCCATTGTTCCCATATAGTACATCGTCTATTTCTATTCATCTATCAATGCACACTTGCATTGCTTCCATATCTTTTTTTTTCATTTTATTATGTTATGTTAGTCACCATACATCATTACTTTTTGATGTGGTGATCCACGATCCATTGTCTTCGTATAACACCCAGTGCTCCATGCAGTACGTGCCCTCCTTAATACCCATGACTGGGCTAACAAATCCCCCCTCCCCCCTCCCCCCTCCCCTCTAAAACCCTGTTTGTTTCTCAGAGTCCATACTCTCTCATGGTTCATCTCTCCCTCCGATTTCCCTCCTTTCATTTTTCCCTTCCTTCTCCTGATGTCCTCCATGCTATTCCTTATGTTCCACAAATAAGTGAAACCATATGATAATTGACTTGCTCTGCCTGACTTATTTCACTTAGCATAATCTCCTCCAGTCCCATCCATGTTGGTGTAAAAGTTGGGTATTCATCCCTTCTGATGGCTCAGTAATATTCCATTGTATATATGGACCACATCTTCTTTATCCATTCATCTGTTGAAGGGCATCTCGGCTCTTTCCACAGTTTGGCTATTGTGGACAATGCTGCTATGAACATTGGGGTGCATATGGCCCTTCTTTTCACTACATCTGTGTCTTTGGGGTAAATACCCAGAAGTGCAATTGCTGGGTCATAGGGTAGCTCTATTTTTAATTTTTTGAGGCACCTCCACGCTGTTTTTCAAAGTGGCTGTACCAACTTGCATGCCAACCAACAGTGTAAGAGGGTTCCCCTTTCTCCACAACCTCTCCAACATTTGTTGTTTCTTGCCCTGTCCATTTTTGCCATTCTAACTGGTGTAATGTGGAATATCAATGTGGTTTTCATTTGAATTTCCCTGATGGCTAATGATGATGAATGTTTTTTCATGTGTCTGTTAGCCATTTGTATGTCTTCTTCAGAGAAGTGTTTTTTCATGCCTTCTGTCCATTTTTTGAATTGATTATTTGTTTTTTGAGTGTTGACTTTGAGAAGTTCTTTATAGATCTTGGATACCAGCTCTTTATCTGTAGTGTCATTTGCAAATATCTTCTCCCATTCTGTGGGTTGCCTCTTTGTTTTGTTGACTATTTCCTTTGCTGTGCAGAAGCTCTTTATCTTGATGAAGTCCCAAAAGATCATTTTTGCTTTTGTTTCACTAGCCTTTGGAGATGTATCTTGAAAGAAGTTGCTGTGGGTGATGTCAAAGAGGTTACTGCCTATGTTCTCCTCTAGGATTTTGATGGATTCCTGTGTCACATTGAGGTCTTTCATCCATTTTGAGTTTATCTTTGTGTTTGGTGTTAGAGAATGGTCAAGTTTCATTGCTTCCATATCTTGATTATTGTAACCAATGCTGCAATAAACACAGAGGTACAGATATCTTTTTGAATTAGTGTTTTTGTTTTCTTTAGGTAAATTCCCAGGAATGGAATTACTGGGTTATATGATACTTCTATTTTTAAATTTTTGAGGAAATTGTATTTGGCTTTCCACAGTAGTTGCACAAATTTATATTCCTGCAACAATACCTGATATTTCCTTTTTTCTCACATCCTTACCAACACTTGTTACTTTTTGTCTTTCTAGTTCTAGCCATTCTGACTAGTTGAGATGATGTTTTATTGTTGTTATGATTTACATCTCCTTGATGATTATTGATGTTGAACATCTTTTCATATCTATTGGTCATCTGTATGTTTTTGTTTGGTTGTTTGGTTGTTTGTTTGTTTGTTTTTAGTTATATCTATTCAGGTCCTCTGCCTATTTTTAAATTAGATGTTTTTTTTCTGTGTTGAGTTGTAGAAGTTCTTTACATATTATCTATATTAACACCTTATCAGGTATATTATTTGCAAATATCTTCTCTCATTTAGTAGGCTGCCTTTTTGTTTTGTTTATTGTTTCCTTCACTCTGCAAAAGTTTTTCTTTTGTCATAATCATAATGGTTTATTTTTGCTTTTGTTTGTCCTGCCTGGAGAGTCATATTCATAATATTCCTGAGGGAGATGTCCAAGAGATTACTGAATATATTTTTTAGGAGTTTTATGGTTTCAGGTCTCATATTTAGGCATTTAATCCATTTTGGGTTTCTTTTGGGGTGTGGCATAAAAAGTGGTTGAGTTTCATTCTTTTGCATGTATCTGTCCAGTTTTCCCAAAATCATTTGTCGAAAAAATTGTCTCTTCCCTTTGTGTATTCTTGCCTCTTTTGTTGTACATTTACTGACCATATATATATATGGGTTTATTTGTAGATTTTCAATTCTGTTCCATTGATCTTGTGTCTATTTTTGTGTCAGTATCATACTGTTTTGATCACTACAGCTTTGTAATATAACTTGAAGTCTGGAATTGGGATGTTTCCAGCTTTGTTTTTCTTTTTCAAGATTACTTTGGCTATTCGGAGTCTTGTGTGGTTCCACACAAATTTTAGGATCGCTTGCTCTAGTTCTGTGAAAAATGCTGTTGGTATTTTGATAGGAATTGCATTAAATCTCTACATTGTTATGCATTATATGGACATTTAGCAGTATTTTTTCTTCAAATCCATAAGCATCAAATATCTTTCCATTTGTGTGTGTCATCTTCAGTTTCTTTCATCAGTGTTTTATAGTTTTCAGGGTGCAGGTCTTTCACCTCTTTGGTTATTTATCCCCAGGTATTTTATTACCTTTGGTGCAATTGTAAATGGGATTGTTTTCATAACTTCTCTCTGCTGTTTCATTATTACTTTATATAAATGCAGTGGATTTCTGTACACTG